CCTTTTTTTCTATAATTAATTTTAAACAATAATAATCAAAAAACAAAACAAAATAAAAGCATAAGTAACGCTATAAGTAAAATAGATTTCTTGCTCTGACAGAATAATGCAACAACTCTTAAAACAATAGCGCTCTGTGTGGCATTTTGAGTGTACTAACAATGTTAAACATACAATTTACTAATCGATATAAAGTTCTACAAGTAGGACTGACTTAATGTAAACAACACAAAATGTTAAACTAAAGAGTTTCACTTTCTGTTGATRGGAGGAGCAGCCATGTTTAAATTATGACATCACWGTGCCTGAGTATGATTGTGTTGCACCAACATCCTGACACAAACTTACAAAATTTCAACATTCCCAGATGATATTCTGACTTGGGCTGTGTCCAGATTTTACAGGTGGGCCGGATCCTTGGTCGACCACAAAGACCGGAAAAAAAATTGGCTGTGAATTTAGCCAGTCTAGCCTTCCACCCTAACCCCGGTGTGTGTCCTGTAACAAAATATTAATATCCATCCATCCATTATCTATACCCGTTTCTAACTTTCAGGGTCACGTGAGTCACTGGTGACAAATCCAGCAGCCACAGTGTGAGGGGCGGGGTACACCCTGGACAGGTTACAAGTCCATCACAGATAATATTAATATATACATTAATAATAATATATTAGTATTATAAATATCCCAAAACAACAAATTTAGCTTAAAGGCAGTATCTGAAGAACTAAGGAACTCACAAAARGTGCATGTTTATTTCGCTATACCAGCTCGTTTGATTTCTGACAATAATAATAATAATAAAAACATACTTTATACAAATGACAAAAGCATTAACAACACAACTGCTTGGAACTTTACATTTTTATAACCCCAGATTTTTATTTAAAACTGTATACATTTCTCTCGCTTTTTCCGCCACTACTAGCAGTAAAAGAAATCTCCGGTTGGCCTTCAATGCGTTATATGATATGGTGGGCTGAGAAGGACCCATCAGACCCCTCCCTCAGGAGTCGTCGGTGCAGCGCTGACGTAAGCAGCCAACAAATTTGGCCTTTAGGAGGATGCAGCCTCTGAATTTGGACACAGCCTTGGACGTCAGAAAATCTGACCTCCGTGTACAACTAGAATGCAGCATTAATGACAACAATAAACTTTCCAGCAACATTTACAGCAGTTTGCCAAGAAATGCAGACCCGTGTTCTATTGACTCAGCAGAATTGCTGTTATGTTACATGTTGTGTCAAATAAAAGAGAAATATTTGATTTTATTTTTGTTTTACCTCGGGGCAGTTGTTCCATGGTCCCCAGGGTGCCATAACACAGGCATTAGGGCAGGCTAAAAAGCAGACCTGGGCTCTGGGTGGCATTTCGTCCTGATCACACAGACCATCATCCACACTGTCCTCCCCGCTCGCTGCTTCCTTCTTCACACACCTAAAAAAGAGCAGCAGAAACAGCTTTATAACTAGTCTCTGGGGTTGTCATATCTAAATTCCCCTCTGAGTTTCCAAAGCCATCTCAAAGTCTCAGACTCAGCATAGATTTATGTTTTACCCTTTTTTCCCTCTAAATTCCCTTTTTTATTTATTTTTTAGTCTCTACAGTATGTTCCATCATTTTTAGATCTAAACAAAAAGGTTTATTTGCACACTCTTGTCCAGATGAAGAAATAAATTACTCTAAAAATGCTCCAAGCTTCATATTCTTATATTTATAAAACTGTTCATTCATTAGTAAAAGCTGTGATTCTTGAACAGACTTTGATCCACTGGAAATTGAAAGTAATAGTTAATAAGCAGCTCTGATACAATATRGAATGATTGCTTCCATTTCCTCTTTTTGACTCCGGTGCTGGATTTTAATGCAGCTATTCAAGTCATTGTGTTTACTTTTTACAATAGTGTTTAATTCAGCATCAGTCTACACATTCGCAATTCCCTGTGGTTTTTCAAAGTCCCACTGAAAGGCAAAAAAAAAAAAAATCAAATAAAGAAAAACCCTGCAAAAGATCTAACACTCAATAAGCATTAGTTTGTTTTGACTGTTTTCCCTTTGCGCTGCAGGTGTGAATGACAAGTTAGTGAGCTTGCTAAAAAAGAGCGTTGCCAATCCACTTCCTCCCATTGTGTGTTGAGGTGCCAGGCGAAGACTCTGCCAAGCCCAACCTGCTCACTGACCTGATCTTGCGGCTTTGGACTCCCTCCCCGCAAGCTGGCAGGTCGTCCACGGTGTTGATGGTACAAATGGACCAGGGCTCGATCTTCCACTCATACTGGCTGCACTCCCTGTCGCACGGCACAGCTTCGTACACCTATGCGTGGGCAAACACAAACACGTGCACAAATAAATGGGAGGGGAAGGAAACCAGAAGCAGTGAATACAGAGAAATGAGCTAAAAAAAGGAGTTTCACCTGAAAAGCAAAGACGTGCGCATTAAACTCACACACAAGCATGCTCCGTGTGCAGATCAGACTAGTGTACTGCAAAGTAAAAAAAATAAAAATAAAAAAATGGGAGACTTTAATATTTTATTGTTTTCTAATGATGCCTGTCTTGGTTAGAAGCAATGTTCTACCTGTTTTTTTTTCTTGTGTGGTAGAAAACAATGAAGCATATAATAATTTGTGCGTTCACATGTGGTTCTATACATGTTTTAGCATCCTTCTTCCCTTGAAATTACTTGGAAAATCAAATATTTGGGCTTTCCTGGGGTGTTTTGAGATCTATTGGAGCTGAATGTCAGAATGAGGCCCCCTTTCAGACATTCAGAGTAAGAAAAAAAGGCCTAAAAACCAAAAGCATGCAAATACGTTTAGAGACAACAAATCAGAAGAAGAGAGCAACACTACGGAAAGAAAACAGAGGCTCTGAACTAACTGGGCTTTATGAGACAAGAAAGGGTCAACAACTTGGGTCCACACTGAAGTAAACGTAAAAGCATGTAAATGGGGTGCCATTTGTAAAGTTACACAGTCAAAAATTACCACCAATA